GGTGACCCTTCAGTTAAACTAGTACCAGTCTAATGAGACAGCCGCCCTGTGGTCTGGTAAGACTGCAGTGGTTTTACATTTTACCATTTTCTCACTGAAGCAATGTTTCTATGGGCTCATTTTTAAAATCTATATTTAATTTTACTTGTTTTTAAACTTGAGCATGCTTTTGAAGTATTGATACTGTTGCAATTTAGGAAATTTGACAGCCAATTCTCAAACAGCAAGCTCTCACAAGCAGCAATTAGACACATTCTCGATTGAGAAGATTTTACCCACTAACTTTATTTCTCTCTCATGGATGCTGTCTGATCTATTCCATGTTTCTAGCATTTTCTGTTTGTATTTTATTTTCTTGCATCCATACTACTTTACTGTTGTGCTCTCAATCATTCAAATTTGAAATAGTGATATAAAAATGAGAATAAGTAATGGTAGAATAAACACTGTTACAAAAACTTTAACAATCTGAAATAAGAACATAAAATGCTGGAACAACTCAGCAGGCAACAGTGAAGAAGGAAGCAGAATCCCATTTCAGATCTGACATAGGGTCATTGACTCTATATTTTTCTCCATAAATGTTTCCTGACCTTTTGAGCTTTTCCAGCATTTTCTATTTTCTTTCAGAATAAACAGTATCTCAAACATGCCTCGGCATAAGTATAACATAGATTTGTTAAAAGTAACAATTGCAATTAATCAATTCCTTGCAAAGAAAGTTATAAAATGATAAAACCGTTAAAAACACTTCCTCTAATGATAACTTTCCATTAAATTATTTTTCTGTCTCCCAGCAACTCCCTACCCACTCCTGTCTCTAGTTCTCCTCATGATAATCTCAAAAGAGTTGATGAACTGGACTTTCCTTTTTATACTTTTCTCTCCTTGTCATCCATTACTCCCTTTCATCTCCCCAACTTCCATATTTCCTCCCTCTGCATTCGCTTAAAACATATTGCATCTCTTTTACCAGTTCTGATGAAACATTAACCGTTTCTTTCTCTACAGATGCTGTCTGGCCTGTTGAGTGTTGTGAAGCATTTTCTGTTTTGTTTTGATGATGAATTGAGAACACGTTCACTTAATATGACATTTGAGTACAGGACAGGAAATTTCAAATCCATCTTCCAATGTGAAAGAAATCTGCCAACTGAGCATAAACCTGAAGTAGAAAAGTTTTGCAGCTCCCAAGGAATATCACTAGACTGCAAATGATACTCATCTAATAAGAACCCAGATATGTGCAGGTTAGGTGGATTGGCCATGTTAAATTGTCCCTAGTGGCCAAGGGTGTGCAGGCGAGGTGAAATAGCCATGGTAGATATGGGGCTATGGGGATAGGATGGGAGGTTGTGGCTGAATGGGATGCTCTTTGCAGGGTCGGTGCAACCACTATGGGCAGAATGTAAGGATTCTATGATTCTATTCTATTCTATGATTTGGAGAAAAACCTTTTTTTAACGTGTTACAAAATCTGTTCCATTTAGTTAATGACTTGGCTAATGGAAATAAGCAGAAAAGTAAACAAATGGACAAAATTGCAATCAAAATATCAATATGTTACCATCTTCCTGATTTCATAGAATCCCAACAGTGTGGAAACAGGCCAGCCAAAGAGCACCCCACCCTGACTCATTCACCTACCCCAGCATTTTCCCATGTCTAACCCACCTGACCTAAACATCCCTGGACACTACAGGCAATTTAGCATGGCCAATCCACCTAACCCACACATCTTTAGACTGTGGGAGGAAACTGGAGCACCCAAAGGAAACCCACACTGACACAGGGAGAATGTGCAAACTCCACACAGACAGTTGCCCAAGGGTGGAATTGAACCTGAGTCCCTGGTGCTGTGAGGTAGCAGTGCTAACCACTAAGCCACCATTTGTCTCACTCCTCACTAAGACTATTTTTCAGGAATAAACACTATCTCTCCTCTATAGCCTTTAGCACAGATGAAGAGCAACAGTTATCTCTCAGGAAAGTTAGCAGTCTTACACGGACATAAGGTAATTGAAAGAACCATTGAAATAATTATGGAGATTCTGTGCAGTTACTCATGTCACAAACAGCAGCCTGGTTCCAGTAACATTCCTACTTGCAAAGTATAATGCAGGTTTGGTGTTCAACAAGCTAATGTTAAGCTGATCTGCAAAGAAGGCTATACATAGAATTAAAAATGTTGGAAATGTTGTTATATTATGAACCTCCCTACTGGTTACAGAGTTCCATATTTTTGCATATTTGTATGCTTATTAGAAATAGCAATATTCCCAAATGCACTGAAGGCTAGTATCCTACCAATGCAGCTGGTAGAATTTAAACTAAATTAATTAATAAAAATTATATTGTGCCTTTAATATAATTAAATGGCACTTTGGAGGAACATTACAAAACAAAATATGATTGCTGGGCTATATAAATAAATATTAGGTTAGATGACCAAAAAGATGACCACTACTGACCGAGCCGCTGAGTTCTGAAAAACATACCTGTCTCAGACAGGTAATGAGTGAACCAATGGGAACAATCAACTCAGTGTAATCCATTCCAATTTTACCTTATTGCAGAAGTATTTGTCTATGATACTCATGTCAAAAGTGACCAATGCATTAAACTTGTGGATGTTGAGTCCCACCATCACACTGATGTCACCTTCCATTGTATTGCATGGCACTACTGCCACATTAAGTGGCATTCATTTGGAACAGTTTGAACAGCTCAAAGTGAAGCATCCATGAGACATTGTGGGTCATCATCAGCAGCAAATTTGTGCACAACCATAATCTGTAACTTCATGCTTTATGACATTCCTCATTCTAATGTTGACATCAAGCCTGGGGACCAACCCTGGTTCTATTAAGAGTAGGAAAACATGCCAGGAGCACTATCAGGCTTACCCCAAAAAAGACATGTAAACTGGCAAAGTGACAACACAGGACAACTTGCAGTAAAAGCAGTATGCCATAGACAGAGCAAAGTGACCTCACAACCTACAAATCTGCAGTCTTGTCATATCCAGCCATGAATGTTGATGGAGAATGAAACAACTAAATAGAGGAAGAGGTTCCACAAATATCCCCAGAACATGAAAGTCCAGAAGACAAGGCTAAAGCATTTGCAGCCATCTTCAGCTAGAAGTGCCAATTGGAGGAGATCCCCAGCATCACAAATACCAACCTTTTGCCAATTCAATTCATTCCACATAATATTAAGAAATGGCTGAGTGAACTGCTTGAGGGGCCAAGTAGCTTACTCCTGTTCCTATTTCTTATGGTCTTATGATTTCAATATCTAAGTTAAAGGAGCCTGCTATTGATGGACTTTAAATGTTGTAACACCTATGGACAGTGGCAGCAGTGTGTACCACCTACAAGATTCTTTTGACAAATCTAATTTCACAGCATTTTCAAAACCCATCACCCCTCCATGTAGAAGCAAAGGGCAGAAGATATGTAAAATGCCACCAGCTGGAAGTTTTCTCCATACTGCACGTTATCTTGACTTGCAACTAGATTGGCATTTGTTTGATCAAATTCAGGAACTTAATCCCTAATAGTGCTGTGGGTGTATCAACACCACATGGATTGCAGAAGTTCAAAAACGTAACTCATCACCATCACCTTCTCAAGGGCAATAACAATGGACAATAATTGCTGGACTTGCAGATAATGCTGCCATTCCATGAGTGAATGACAAAGAAAATTCATTATGTACTAATTCCTTACACATATCCTTTTTTCTAAGATCTCTTGTGATTGAGGGGAACTAATGGGATAATCTGTTCTTTCCAATTATTAAAAATCAGATGGTAGTACATCTGCCTGCTGAATAATTTTACATACTTTGCTCCCTGAAGTTTCAAGCACAGACTGTTCTGTGGATTGACTGCATAATTTTCAAATAAAGGTGCTTTTGCATAGTGCATCATCACATCTCCTGGGAATATTCTGAAACAAATCACGAAATACAAATTACTCTGAAGTGCAATGATTACTATTATGGGAGAATGCCTATCACATCAACCAGAGCAAAATCCCACAATCATTAATGGAATAAATTAATCCATTCTGAGGCTTGATCAAGAACGGTACATTGGCTAGGTCATGAGAATTCCCCACGCTTTCTCAAGTAGTCCAGTGGATTCATTAACAGACGCCTAAGCAGGAAATAATTTATTGTCTGCGGATTCACTTCTGAGAATCCAGCACTTTCATAGCACTGCATTCGGTCTACAACATATTCAAGCCATACAGTATGCCTCTAGAGATACAGTTCCATGTTCAAGAAGTGCCATCGTTATTGAGTAAATCAAGCTGAGACAACGCAAGATCGTCACTTCGAGATGATCTCATCACCGTCGCTACATTTCTGTTTTCTTTGGCTTAAGTAGCTTTCTACAGCATAATTGTTGTCAATGCTGCGTTAAATATCACTCTAAAAAAATTAATACAGTTGTCTTTGGCAATAGCTGATAATTTGGTGTCTCATGGTAAAATCTAAAAAGCAGAAGACTAAATATATTTAAAAGGTGGCAATGGACAGAAATGTTGATTTGAAAATGACTATTAAATACAAATGTATCAATTATTGGTAATGAATTTAGACCACAAAATATGACTCCAAGTGTCATTTTCCCTTGGGGAACTGTTTATATCAGTCTCTGTTTAAAGTGGATTTTGGAACACTTATTCAGAATAATGCATTCCACATTTTGCGCAGGTTAATATGACTACGTCCTATAGATTGCCTTCTAATTGAACATTGTATACTTTTATTTATTTGAATCACTGTAGGATAAATGCATTGATTTAAGCAAACTGAGGTCTGTCTAGAGTTCAGAAAAACTGAATTTTTTTGTCGTGAATCAATGATTGGAAAAAGTTGTTTAAAACTATGTAGTAACAACCTGGGAATGTATACAAAGAGCACTCAGTCTAGTCTATGTCAAATACCAAACACTTTATTTTATAACTGATATATATTCAGGTCTTTACAATATATACATATTGCACATGTTAGCTGGAATGTTTATAATTCATAATGTACAGTGACTAATGACAATAGCTTGTATAGATCTGTATAAATGACACTCCACTGTGTTAGAGAAAAGATAATTGGTCACAAACTTCTTTTTTTCAGCTCAGAGAATGTAAACCATAACCAACGAAGTACTAACCTAACAGTGTAGTTGTAAAATATTATACTTTGTAAAGACAAAGGCAAGAAAAATGTCATGCAAACCATAACTTATCCCTTGGAGTAGAGGGTGACCCCAAGCATTCCATTATATCAATATTTTGCTGTGTTATGACACAGCAAATGATTTTAAACTGCATAAGCATTACATATGACATGTAAAGATAACCAGCATTCTGAAGCATGAAAAAAAGTCCTACAGTAAATTTAGGATACATTAGCCTTGTCTTGAACAGTATCTGAGTATCTCAATGTTTAATACAAAATAATACTCCAAACATGAACAAGAAAGCATTTGTGCAATTTTTGGCAGCATTACACAGGAAAACAGTGAAGTGTTGTTATTTTCTTATGTTCAGCCTTTGTAACATCGGCAGTTATTTATACTAATGTACAGAATTACAGAAATAATGTTGACAACATACAAAATGCACATTAATGAGTTCATGGAGGTAATCCATCAGTTTGCAAAAATAAATCTTTGTTCACAATGGAATATGTTATAAAGGTATTGAGATCAATGTGTTTCCCTGTTGTTTTCCAAGGCACTTTTCTTGGTTCTGGGGATATCTTTATGTTGATACCTGTAAAATAAGATTATTGCATTTTGTGTACTTAATTTAGAATCATAGAATGCCTACAGTTCAGAAAGAGGCCTTTTGGCCCATCGAGTCCTGCACCGACCCTCCGAAAAGCATCCCACCCAGACCCAGCTCCCCATCCTATCACTGTAACCCCACATTTACTACGGCCAATCCACCTAGCCTGCATATCCTTGGACAGTGAGAAGAAACTGCAGCACCCAGAGAAAACCCACACTGACATGGTGAGAACATGTAAGCTCCACACAGACAGTCACCCAAGGCTGCTGGAATTGAACCTGGGTCCCTGGCACTGAGAGGCAGAGCTAACCCTTGAGTCACTGGATTTTTCAGGGATTTTAGTTTTAAAAAGTGGAATGCGTGCTTTATAAGTTGTTCAAAACTGCTGCATGTTTATCCATGGAACTCAACAGTTTCATTTTTAACTTCATTTTACAAGTTAGTTGATGACTGTAATTGTTCCAAAATGCCATTTTGGTTGTGTAATGATGGCACTTTTAACAATTATTGAGAAATTGTACATCTACCACGGGTAATTTATTTTGTTGTTTACAAACATTTCATGCCAGGATCATTTCCATAGAAGAGAGTGCACCTTTAGATTGCTCATCTGTGTGGTTACATCACAATGGTGCATAACTGGTTAAAAGTTTGCTCATGTATCATAAACTTAGCAGCTCCTGTTCAATGCTCTATATGAGAATAGTGGTATATTGTTTCAGTCCATTTGTTGCAGCTATTTAATAACAATAGTTGGTTAAATGCTACATTTATAGGTAAGATATCAGTTTGAGTTCCTAACTTGCTGGTCACTCAACTAGCTTGGCAAACCACATCAATTTTATCAGTCAGGCATGACAGTGAGGCATGGCAAGTTAACACAGTTGTACTGCCCCTCCAACTGATGAAGGAAGCAATGTCACAAAAGTTAGAATATACTTTAAAAATCAGTATTGGAACATTTTTTGTGTCAGTGATGATTAATGTGGAATTCACCAAGCATCATCACAACTGCATTTCAATTCTGCATTGCAATTGAAAAATTATATCCCACTCTTTTATAAAGCTGAGTGAATGAAAAGAATGATTAATCAATAATGAAATGAACTTGTTGATGTCTAACTGAATGTGCATTACCTAGAGCAGTGTTACCATCTGAAGTTCTACCTGCTCCTCAATCCTGCCTCAAGTTTATCCTGAGAATCTGCATTGAGGTACAGGAGCCCAGACGCCAGAAGTCATGCACCTGATACCTTTTGTTCAATTGTAAATGATGATTACTGCCTTTTCCTTCCCAGGGTATATGTACTTCAGACATCTTACATGTCTTATTTTCCTAACCCAGGCATTCGTGCAATCAGTGACGTTGTGGGTGTCGCTGATGTGTGAGGCGTGGAAGTTCAGCATTCATTCGATTGCATATTAATTAGCCCGGGCTGGCTTTTCTACTTTCACGATGCGTGGGCCGACCTATTGATTATAAAGCTTTGTAAAATGATGTATATACCAATTGCTGCCATCTCTTATGAAGTCGTAGCCATGGCAATTAGTGCTGCCTTGTATAGTGCAGTAAAGCATCAAGATGGCAGAACATTGCCAACAGGCCGTTAATACTGAAAGGAATTGCATCTTGAGTCTGATCTCATGTGGTTGTGGTTCAGCTGTTTTGAGTTGAAAGCGATCGAAACTAGGCTTTTGCCCAGGCACAGCTTTTGCTCATACCGTCCGATTTCCAGTAGCTTTCATATATTTGCAGCGTAATTTTACAAACTGCCTGCATTGCTCTGAGGTACATTAGAATGGCCAAATAATAGGATGAGCTACCCGAACGAAATGGCAGTTTGGGTGGGTTTTACTGGTACCGATGTGATATCTATCAGGAAGGTTAAAAAAAAGTGCTGCATTTAGCCCCTAATCGATTTTGGCTGAAAGACAAACCTACGCTTGAAAGGGATAGTCTGCATGTAAAGGCCGATTGGTTTTGAAATGTATTTACTAATGGAATAGATCTTTCCAAATTGCCACGCAGACAACCCCGCCTCAACCCCCGGAATGTCAGAGCTGAAACTTCAGCATGTATAACAGCCAAGCTCAAGTATCACAGGATGGCAGTCAGTTAGCAACACTTACCAGTAATCGAATTTAGCCTTTAGCGCACATCGGACTGACTGCCAATCTTGTGAGAAGTCTGGCACATCTTTTATAATCTACGAGAAGAGAAAGCTGTCACGGCACAGAAAAGCACTCACGGAGATTTATTTGCAGGAGATAGTGTCTCCCTTTCGAAAACAAACAGTATATAACGTCGCCGAATCGTCAAACAGCTTTCTTTCATTCTCAGAGACATATAGGATTTGTCTGTTAAAGACATATTCCCGCCATATGGAGTTACTGAAGCTTCCCACTTAAACCAGAAGGATGTAAATAACAGATGGGTCAATTCTATTTTTATAACCGGGCTGTGTAAAGTGTCTGCCTTCTTTGAATTTCGCGTTCTAAAAACAATTTCGCAAACGAGCCCGTTTGTCCGATAATTTTAATTCCCATGAGAATTATTTTTTAAAAAAACACTTTAACCATTATTGCAGTGATAATGCTGGCTTTTAGAATGATGTGTGATGTGATAAAACACAAGCCACATTGGGTTGCATGCGTAACCCTTAACATTTCCCCATTATCTCGGCCCAGCCTGATAGAATCAAACGCGCCGCTGCCCTTCTGGATAGACAGTGGGGATATGGTTTGCACCGAGTCCCATTGGGAATGATTTTGGCAACAGGTCTCCGCGAGTATAGCGGAGCAGGCTAGACTCTCCGTCACTTGCCTATATGGGATCTATCCTTTCCCACCATCAACCTGCTGAAGTTTCAGCCATTCAGACAGTGACTGGGCAAACTGAAATTCGCTTTGGGATTATCACGACCTGACTTGTCACATTCCCCACTAGAAACTGCAGAGTGTTGACCACCCGGCACAGAGTCATTCACGTAAGAATGGAAATGTCCACAGAAAACCCCCATCTCTCTCTCTCTCTCCCTTCCACCCTCCTCTCCAGTGGGACTGTGATCCTGCTATCAATCTGCTAGCTGGGACTAGCTCTGAACACCATGCATGGTCACATCTCCACCCGAAACCAATACAAACCATCCTCCCCCGCCACATCCGTGCTGCTCTAATGAAAGCTGCCGAATGAGAGTGACCCTGACATTAGAGAGAGAGACCAAGAAGTCCACAGTTTGAAAAGTCCTTCAGACTGTAACTACACTTCGCTCCGAAGAATCTGCCTGACCTACTGTGGGGCCAACTATCTCTCCTTTTCTCTTTCAAATTTCAGATATCCAGCACTGCAATATTTTCCTAATTGATTTAATGAAAAACAAGAAGCCTCTTAGACTTATGCCTGAAACGATCGCTTTCCCCGGAAGGGCACTGGGAAAAGTAGTGGCGGATTCGCACTTACATGCTGGTATGGTACAGTCCCTGGTGTTGTGGTACAGCCGATGGAAGTGTTTGCTGCACTTGGGGCTGAAGTAAAGTGGACCTGGGGAGAAAGGCAATCACTGTTAAAAACCGGCCGATCCGCACTGGGCACAAAAACACACGCAGTCACAGACACACTGAAAGCGCCGTGGTTTACCTGTTAAATGTTTCAAGAACTTGTCTTTCATCTTCCTCAGATCTCTGGGCACTATTTCTGTTGGAAAATCAGACAGAGATTTAAAGGCAGGGCTGAGATAACGTTAGCTTGATGAGTTTGCTAAACCTTGGCCAATCCTTTTATAACGCGGAGTTCGATCGTTTTAACGGTGTTTCGACGAGAATCGCCTTGAGGTGTGTGCTGGAGTCACGGGCAACTTCATAAACGATCGGTTGTGTGGCAGAGAGGCGAATCCGCAAACAAGAAAGGAGCGAAAAGACAGCGTTTCCCGAGTGTCCCAATGTTGAGGGATTGCCTAGGGGAGCCCCAAGTTTAGGGACAATTCGAGACAACGCTGTGTGAACACTGGACAGGGGAGGGAGCATCGCTTTTTGTAACTCCGAACCTAACCCTGCCTGGCCCCATACCTGACCAGATCGACATATTCCAAAATAGTGACATATTGAAAGAAAAGAATTAATCAGGGTTATAGATGGTGAACGTGGAGCGTCCCCCCGTCACCCGGGAGAGACTGATAGCACGCAGGCAGTCCCCACTCTCCCGCGGATCTCTTGAGCAGCGGGACTGTCAATGTCCTCAAGTCACCCTTTACTGGCTGCTGACCATTCACAAACTGTGTCTAACTACGTTTAGCATACATGGCGGGGGAGGGATACACGCTGTTGGGTTTAGTGTCGCTCCCTGCCTGAAAGTAGTCAACCTCGCCTTGCCATCAGTATCCCACAAACCCCACTCCCACCCCCCACACCTTCCTTCCCATCTGTACCAGAAACCAGCTACAGGGCAGCGAGCAGACCATCCGCAGCCCCAAGGGGCCATTCATCGCTTCTTTCTCCCCCCTTCCCCCTCCCAGATTCAAGCAGCCCAGTCCTCCCCTGCTTTCAATTCGGTAAAAGAAAATGAAATGCATGATTGCCCAATACATCTGGCTCTTCACTCAGTGAGGCGGAAAATCCCCCAGGGTAAATTGATAACTACCGTGGAAACAATAGAGCCGAACACACTTACCAACTCTTTCCTCCTTACGATAGTCTTCATTGTCCGGAAATTCCCGGGAATCAAACGTATAATCGACAGGTTGTGGGAAGTAGTCGACTTCATTAGTTTCCTCCTCCCGGTGCTTTTGTAACTGATTAATGATTTCCAATATTAAGTTAAAGAGGGTTTTATTCTCCCGTAACTCCGTGAGATCTGTCCTCTCTTTGCAATATCCAGCTGTGCTAATGAGAAGTACCAGTCCAAAGAACAGCGGCGACCTC